CTGTCTATTGCAGATACTCCTTTGAGGAATGTATTCAGAACTTCTCCCACATTAAAACAAAACAAACCAAAAAAAACTTCTCATAGAATGAACCACACTCTGTACCACTAATGTAGTCACAGAATTATTCAAGATTGATCTTTGGTCATTATCTATTGAAACAGAATTTTACTTGTTAGAGTGAACATTATCATTAATGTTGCTGGTTCAAGAGACTTACTGTTAGTAAAAGACTCTTTGATACAGAAATTTGATTATAACATGGAGTTCATCTGACCGTTTCTGACAACCTACTGGATTTTTGTTTTTCAAGAAGATGGTTGTTTTTTGCTTAGGAAATGATAATATTTTAGCTGCTTATCTGTGTCCTACAGCTGGCAGAGGAATGCAGTACTCTGACCATGAATTTGCGTCTGTATCCCTGAAAACACACAGACCTTACTTAGTGTTTTCAAAAGAGGTAGAAAAGACATGTGGCATCTTTTTAAAAGTTTTTTTTTTTTTTTAATAAATTACCGTGTTTGGAAAACTCACTGAGTTTTCCAGGACACTGACTCAATTTTGTATTTAGTTTCTTTTTACTTTTTTTTTTTGAAACATAGTCCAAATAAGTAGAGGGGGGAAAAGTCCAACTGAGAGCATTCAGCCATACTTTTTATTTTATTTTTTAACATCTTTATTGGAGTATAATTGCTTTACAATGGTGTGTTTCTGCTTTATAACAAAGTGAATCAGCTATATAGCCATACTTTTTGAACTGTCTCTCGGTTTTTATTTTCATTTATAGTTGACTTCAGCAGCAGAAGTTTAGAAAACTTGAGGTTTGGGCTCCTGTACAGGGAGTAAGACCAAACCACAGTAGTTTTACTCAGTTGCTAAATGCTTGAGTTTTGGGTAATACTAGTGATTAAATCATCTCCCCACAATGGAATAATCTCCCCAACATGCCATAGAATCCTAGTTTGGGAAGGTCATATCATCCATCAGATATCCGAAAAGTTACTAGGCATAAATGAGGAAGCACTAAGAAGCTGCCCAAAGTAGTAGCAGTTGTAAAGTCACTTCTTAAAATTTAACATCTCTGAATTACTTTATGACCTCCACACTCAAGTTTTGCTGTCAGTGTTTCTTACTATGCAGTGCATGTGCAAGAAAAGCCATTTCTTTCACATACAGTGAAAATAAAAGATTCCTTTAAAATTACTCAGTGTTGCCTTCTTAAAGTTTTGAACCCTCAATCATTCCTACATTTGAAAGTGAGACAGGGCTGTAAAAAAATACTTCATGGGGTGGGATAGGGAGTGTGGGAGGGAGACACAAGAGGGAGGGGATTTGGGGATATATGTATATGTATAGCTGATTCGCTTTGTTATAAAGCAGAAAGTAACACACCATTGTAAAGCAATTATGCTCCAATAAAGATGTTAAAAAACAAACAAAAACTTCATTGTTCTTTTGAAGTTAAAATGTACCCTAGGCAAAAAAGTGCTGCTTTAGCCACCCTTCCCCACCCTGGACACCGCTCCCCCCCCCCATTTTTAGGAGGCCTGGCCTGAGTCTCTTAAGTTTTTCCTTGTGAATTTGGTTTGACCTAATTAGTTTTTGTAGTTTGGATTCACTTATTATATAAATGGCCCAAATTGGTGTGCCTCTTTGTTGAAGCTGATCTAGTAGGTGGCATACACATGATAACAAACTACTCCATGTAGGTGCCCATTCCTTATTAGCCTTCTCAGGGCCTCCATGCCCTTCTTCTTAATCAGTATCTCATTGTCTTCCAGAAAGACATTGACTGTGCTTTGCAGCTGCACAGTAATATCTAGTATTTTAGTATTTAATAATCAAGTATATTTTTATTCTCTGTAGGGTTTCCTCTTGAAATAGATAAAATTCTATCCATAGTATAATACATGATTGTAAAAAAATTTACCTTTTTCAGATAACTGCCAATTCTTTTTCTTTTCTTTTAACACTATCCCCCAGATGGAACTTAAGGGTGACCATAGTTAACCCTTGCCCCACACAGCTGCCCTGGCTGGCTGTTCATTAGTGCTTTATTTGTTTAAGAATCCCATGTTACTAGACACTTTAGGTAATTGCTTAGATTTAACGTAACCACTTTACATTCTACCTCTTCAAATATATGACCGTTCAAGGTCACCCAAACATAACTGTTCCTACTCTGAGGTGTACATGACTGGTATCACAGGATATCATCTGGCTTCATGAGAAGGTAGCTGGTGGCACCAAAGAGCTTCTTTCAGACTTACTTCTACATGGCCTTTATCTGGCAAATAGCCCTAAGAGGCATGGGCAGGTTTTAAAATTTTGTTGGCAGTGTTTCACAATGGCATACTTGTTTCCAACCAAGTAGATGTTTGGTTGTGGTTAAGAGGAATCATTGCTGGCATTGAAGCAGACCTGCCTGAACATTTTTGTTGAATCTTCCTGTTGTTTGGTCCATGTCTTGGAGCTTTACACCTGTGGAAACTATACACAAACACTTTTGTATTAATGGACTTAGTATCTTTGACAGAATAAATTACCAAGTAATTTCTAAACATGTCAGATGATCCTTGTAGTAGATGTAGTGATTTCTTTGAAGTAAATGTAACACCATCAATTCATTGTTACCACTAGACTTAACCTGTCTCTTGAATTTAATCCCATTTCACCCCTTATTACTGGCTGGACATACATCTACTTGGGAGGCCACCTTTAAAGTCAGGGTATCATATCTGGTGTTGCTTCCTTGGAATCTACCCTTCATTTCTTAACAATACCATTCTTTTTCTACTCACCACAGGCCTTAGAATTTTGCAGTTATCTTTGACAACATGGTCTGCCCCCTTTTTTCCATTCCTAATCAACTACCAAGCTCAGGCAATTAATGCTTTCACTCATTTTGGTGTCTTCTTCTGCATTTTTACTATGGTTGAGATATTGGGCCCTTAGCAGTTCATATCTGCACTACTAGTCTAGGAACATCCTAAGTGACTTTTCCCCTCCAGACCATCCTACTTCCTGCTTTTTAATACTACCATTTTCATGTTGTTATTCTCCTGCTCATAAAGCTTTTGGTTTAGTGCCATCGAATGAAATCTAGCTTCCTTAGCTTGGCATTCAAGGCCCACAGTGTGTCCTGTCTTTTTAGTCTTATTTTCCTGAACATGATTGGTATTCTGACCTATTCTTTATTTCTCAAAAATGTGCTTTCTTCCCACTGTGGTATTAATAGCCATCCTTACTTGGCTTCCATCCCCTCTTTCTCTTTATTTAAATTCCACCTAATCTGTAGGACTCAAGTTGAAGTTTTCCACCTCCTGTGAAACTTCCCTGGGTTGTCTCTCCTCTGAACTCTGAGTACTTGCATGTCATTGGACAGTTAACCTTGTAGTACTCTGATACTTCTTGGGTTACAATGAACTATGTCTCATTATTTTTTGCATTTAATACTTAAGTGGAATGTACCTTCATATATATTGTTTTATCTGGTTGGGTTTTTTTTGTTTTTTGTTTTTGTTTTTGCGGTACGCGGGCCTCTCACTGTTGGTGGCCTCTCCCATTGCGGAGCACAGGCTCCGGACGCGCAGGCTTAGCGGCCATGGCTTACGGGCCCAGCCGCTCCGCGGCATGTGGGATCCTCCCGGACTGGGGCACGAACTGGCGTCCCCTGAATCAGCAGGCGAACTCTCAACCACTGCGCCACCATGGAAGCCCTATCTGGTTGTCTTTTTTTTTTTTTAATAGCTAAGGACAAAGAGACCCAGCATCTGTTCTTTTTAACAAATGTTTTCTTATTATCCTAAATAAAATTCATAGATGATATAATGTACCTACAGATGTAGTTTTTAAAAAATCAATAACCTTACTATAGTATAAAGGAAAAATGAAAAAAACTTGTAACTTGTATTTCAGGTTTCAAATACTCAGCAAAAATTATACTCTAGAAAGAAAAGTTCTTACAGATTTAAAACCCCTGAACTTTCCTGCTATACTGTGTTGTACCTCCTTAAACAACTTAACAGGACCAATCTTGATACTAATATGATTTGTATCTGAAGTTGCAAGTTATGAATAGCCTTAGTTCCTTTCCCATACAGCATGTGGTCAGTACAGCCCAGCCTGTATTAAACTAAAATTAACTTTTACAAAATTTAAATTAAAAGTTACTGGGAGACAAAAATAACTACTTGTAAAGTGGTTAAAACACTTTATTATTACATGTTTAGCCTCCTCTTATATGGTTCTTACTTGTTTAAAAAATGGTTCCAGAGGTTATGGCAATAATGTGATATGTTGACTGACTCTTTAATTTTAGGACTTTGATATTTTGTACAGTCCTGTTCATATATGTGACTTTATGTCACATAAACAGCTCAAAAGGATGAGTTGCCTGCCAATACTGAGAGAAGTCTTTACAAAGGAATCAGGTTGATAAGGTCTTTTATCTCTAAAGATCAGATTGTTGCCTAGTTGTGACAAGAATTCTTTGTGTTTAGACTATACTCCTGCCTCTCTGATTTTTTTCTTACACAAAAAAGACCCCTTGATAGAAGCCAATTATGTGTACAAATTAAACTACCAAGTCCAAACCTAGATCTCCTGTGATCTTCTTAGTTGTTTAAAGTACTTGTTCCTAGTTGTTTAAAGTACTTGTTCCTTTAGTGGCAAAGGTTTACCTGAGAAGCCATCAGAAATGATGCTAGATTGATAGAGAAAAACTCTTAAAGAGGAGTATTTATAGATTCTTGGAAAGTTCTATCTGTGCAATTCTGTAGTTTCTAAAAGCATGCTAAGGCCTGACTTGGCCCGTTTTGCACAATTAAACATTCTAAAACCTGTGGTTGACTAAATAGTTCACATTGTAACAATTTAAAAAATAATGTATTGTCATCGCATTCTAACTTGTAGAGAAAAGTCTTGTGGGGAGATCTAAGTGGCTTAACTTGATACTTAGGATATTTGTCATTGTAAAACTACTGGTTTTTCTTTTGCAGATTTTCTTGTGAAACGTTCCAGTAGAAAAAGTTCTTGGGACAAACTTCATTTGGTAAGTTTGTCCCCCTACCTCCTGCCCCCTACTATACTCTCTGCTGTTCTGAGGCAGCAAAAGGTAATTTATAGATGAATTTTGGGGGCCTGTTTTGTCTGTGGACATAATTATTTAGGTGAACCCTTGTATGTTCACTTTAATGTTAAATCTCAATATTTGGTGGTTTGGTTTTTTTTTCCCATTAGGACTCCAGCCAGATTACTTTTCCCATATATAATTGTGCCATAGTATAATATACTGTGCCTAGAAACTTGTATTTAAGTTGAGATTAAATGAGTTGTGGCCCTAATCTTTTGTTTAAAATAGTTCTTAACATGATGTTCTTTTAAATTGAAACTTGGTTCTTATTTTGAGTTTTCTTAAATTGTTAAATTTGTGTGAAAATCGAGGCCTCATTACTAGCATTAATGGTACCAATGTGACGTTCAACTAGAAAATAACTTCTAAAAAATTTGTTAGTCCTGCCCCCAGTGTGGATGTTAACCCCTGTCCTGTCCTTTTTTTCATAGACCTTTATGGATCTGTTATTACCTAAGTCTTTATTACTGCCTCTTTTTTCTGCCATCTGTTTAATGGAGGAAATTATTATCTAAGTTTATTGAAAAGAGAAGTTGCTGTTTTGGTTTTAAGTTTCTGTATCCAAATCATTCCCTTGTTCCAGAACCTTTAGCTTGGCATTGCCTCCAGATTAAGGATCAAGCTCCTTAGCATGGCATTTTAGGCTCTTTATAAGTGAGCTTTAAGCACATCTACTGCAACTAGGCACTCACTTCCTCCATACATCTAGAAAGTCTTGCTGTAGCCAACCTGACCTACTTACTGTCCCTCAAATACTGTCCAATATCTTGCCTTTTTTTTTGGCAAGATATTTGCTTGTGCTGGTATTCTTTGCTTGTGCTGTTCCTTTACCCTCTTTGTCTCAAAATCTGTCTGGTTCAGCCATTAAAAGTGCGAGTGTTCCACAAAGCCTTACTTGAGTGCCCAGTTCAGAGTCCATTTCTCTGTCTTTTGCATCTCCATGATATTATATTTCTACATCTGTTATCACACTCTGCCTTATTAGTTATGTTTGTCACCCCACAGGATTGTGAACATCTTGAAGGCAAGAACTATCTTCATGTTTGAATTTTCAGATCACACAAACGTTCCCTGAGTCCTGGGATACTAGTGTCTTCTCAGTATAATTTCATTTTAATTAGGATTTTTGTTTTTGTTGTGTGTGTTTGGTTAAGAATAAGGGAGAAGAATTAGATTCTTTTATTCTAGTAGAGAAGAATTAGATTCTTTTGTTCTAGTAGAGATTAGTTATCATCTTGTTGATTCAGGGTACTGTTTTTTTCCTTTCTATATAGGAAGGACTTATATAGTACATATAATGTGTCCTTGTAGTCCAAGTTGCTCAGTATCTCACTTGGCTGAGTTATTGTTGGCAAGTGTGAGTTTTAGTTACTGATTAAGGAATTGAGTAATTTCTTGTTAACAGGTGCCTGAAAGAATGAGATTCCATGTTAAATAGGAAGATAAATGTCTTACTTCGGTAAAGATTTCTCAGAAGTCACATTCTGAGACTGACACTGGAGACCAGTGAAGCCTGCAGATCCCAACTGTCAAATTCTCATACATACATTAAGAAAAGAGAAATCATTTGACTGCTTCAAATAAGAATTTTACCCTTCATTTGGCCTAGCAGGGTGCATATTAGACCTTTGGAGAGGAAATGTAATCCTAATGTATTACTTGACTCTGCAGTGTTTAATTTTTTAAAAATTTATTTATTTATTTTTTGGCTGCGTTGGGTGGGTCTTCGTTGCTGTGCACAGGCTTTCTTTAGTTCTGTTAGGCGGGGGCTACTCTTCGTTGCCGTGTGCAGGCTTCTCATTTCGGTGGCTTCTCTTGTTGCGGAGCACCGGCTCTAGGCACCCGGGCTCAGTAGTTGTGGCGCACGGGCTTAGTTGCTCCATGGCATGTGGGATCTTCCCGGACCAGGGCTGGAACCCGTGTCCCTTGCATTGGCAGGTGGATTCTTAACCACCGTGCCACCAGGGAAGCCTGATGTTAGATTATTAAATTAATTTTGATACCAGGAAACATATTATTGGAATTAATATAATGTGGGTTCCAAATTAAAAGACTAAAGAGAGATGACAACTAGATCCAATGTGATCCTAGACTGGATCCTTTTATAGAGGGGGGAGGAAATCTCTGTAAAGGATATGATTGGTTGACCAAATTGGAATATAAAAAGTAGATTAAAGTACTATATCAGTGTCAAGTTTCCTGAATTTGAAAGCTAGTTCTGTGGTTATATAAGAGATTAATTTTGTTCTTATAAAGTATATATTGAAGTAGTAAGGGGTAAAGAAGTAGCATGACTTGCCTTAAAGGTCCCAAAGGTCATAGAGTTTAGTGAATGGCAGACTCAGGACTCCTGTCTCTTCTGCCCTCAGAACCATTGCTTTACATCCCTGATTTTTTTTTTTGATGGCTTTATCTTCACACTCTGTCTTAGGTCAAGTGAAAAGCTTTTATGTAATATTACTTTGAATTTCCTTTTTAAAAATGTCTTTGTAGAAAAGTTTATTTTTCTAATTACAAGGGTAAAGTAATTCTAAAAGTGTAAAAACAAAGTCCCTATTCCCACTTTCTTCCTTAGAGTGGTAACCATTGTTAACAATCATTATATCATTTTTCTGTACATGTACAAACGTTTCTGGATTAATACAAATAATGCTTATGCGTATTTTTATTTTAACCTTTCAAATTACAGAACATTAGAACTTCTACCAAGTTGATAACTGAGTTAGTGAATTATAGTTTCATAAATGGAATTAGTATGTGTAGTCTTTGGCAATAATGATCTCCCCCACCAAGTGTGTATCTTTTTCACCTAGTAAATTTATTTTTAAGAATCAGGGCTGCAGAAATAGTGACTTGTGCAGAGATATGGGCAAGGATGGTTATTGTGGCTATTTTGATTGTAATAGAAAAGTGAAAATAACCTAAATGTCCCAGTAATTGATGAATTAGTAGGTTATGGTGTATCGGAATATAATGGAATACTGAACTGCCATGTTGAAAGTATGTAGTGACACAGGAAGGATTTGGTACATTGAGGGAAAATGTGCAGAACAATGAATACAGTATGATCCTCCCCCCTCATTTTTCGGGGGTAGATTATGTATGTCTTTGTATATGAATAAAGTGTCCTGGACAGAATTATAAAATATTAACAGTAGTTGTTATTACGTGTAGTTGAAGCGAAGGGCAGCAAAGAACGAGAATGGAAGTTCTACTTATTTACTTAAAAAATAACAGATTTGAGATATAATTCATATATTATACTATACATTTGACCCATTAACGTATACAGTTCAGTGGCTCAGTATATTCATTGTGCTGTGCAACCATCACTGCAGTCAATTTTAGAACATTTTATTACTTCAGAAAGAAGCTCTCCCTACCCTTTAGCTATCACCCTCCCTTACCTTCCACCTCTCCCAGATCTAAGCAGCTACTAATCCACTTCCTATCTCTATTAATTTCCCTGTTCCATTTCTGTCAAGTATGATATGTGGACTTTTGTGACCGGCTTCTTTTACTTGGTATAATGTATTCAAGGTTCAACTATATTGAAGCATGTATCAGTACTTCGTTCCTTTTAATTGGCTGATTAATACTCCATTTTGGGATATACAACATTTTGTTTATCCATTCATCTGTCAGTGGACATTTGGGTTGTTTCTGTCTTTTGACTATCTTGAATAATGCTGCTATAAACATGTGTATATGAATTTTTCTGTAGATATGTTTTTGTCTCTTAGACAAAATTCTATTCTCTTTAGGAGTGGAATTGCTGGGTCAGGTGGTAGCTCTATGTTTAATCGTTTGAGGAACTGCTAGGCTGTTTTCCAAGGAGGCTGAACCATTTTACACTCCCACAAGCAGTATCTGGGGACAGTTGCTTACTTTTTACACCTGTATTTTAAATTTTCTTAGAAGCAGCATGCATTACTATTACAACTAAAAAATTAAGAAGTGTTAAACTACTTCTCTTAGGCTAACAGTAATGACTCAATTTCTTCCTTTTGGTGCTAGTATAATTACCATTATGGAACGCAAGTTTTGCAAGTCAGTTATTGACTATTTTTTAATGATTGGCTATATCTGCTCTTTGTAGTATTAATATTATAAGGACCTCCAGCAGCTTCGTGATTCATATTGGTTGCAGAGTTACCCATGATCTTGGCTTTTTCTTATGAACTTGGAATTCCTATAGAAGGTTTACCTTTCCTCAGATGTTTAAAGCAGCACCTCTTATTTTGAACTATGTTATCTGTTTTCTTATCTCCCCTCTTGCACTATAAATTCTTTAATCTTCCTTAGCCCCCACATCTAGGCCTTTACCTATTACTGTCAGTTATACTCTAAAATAACTTATATCCTTATGCTTTTATTCCATCTGTACTGCCTTCATTCTAGATCAAGCCACCATTTTCCTCCCTGTAATTGTCTCCTGATTCTCTTTGTTCTTTTTGTTCTCTAATCCATTCACCACACAGTAATCAGAATTATTTAAAAATCAAATCATATCACTCGGCTGTTTAAAATCTGTCAATGAATTTTTGACACTTGGAATATAATCTGTTGCCCTTGGAATATAATTTATACTCCTTACTATCTACATTATCCTCTTGTACATTTCTCCATCTTCAAGTTGGGCCACTCTTCTTTCTGACTCAGTACATTTTAGCTATACTGGCTTCCTCTTTTTAATCCTTCAGAAATGCCAAAGTCTTTTCCTTGTCAGGAACCCATGTTGTTTTCTGTGCCAGAAACTGGCCTTGCTGCACAGAGAGGCCTTTTCTGACCACCTTACCTAAAGTAGGACTCCCATACCCCCACCCTCTCAGTCTCTGTCTCAGCATCCTGTTTGTTTCCTTTATCACATTGAGCACAATTTGTAATTATAATTATTTGTTTCTATCTTCCACACTGGGATATGAGCTCCTTAGTGCAGGAACCAGCACAGTGTCATAGTGTTTGACACGTAGTTAGTTCTCAGGTAATTGTTGATTGACCAAAGTGCAGCACACCATTTTACAGTCTTTATTTGGTGTAGAAATGGAAGACATCAGGGGCTTCCCTGGTGGTCCAGTGGCTAATAAGATTCTGCACTCCCAGTACAGGGGGCCTGGGTTCAATCCCTGGTTGGGGAGCTAAGATCCCACATGCCTTGTGGCCAAAAAACCAAAACATAAAACAGAAGCAATATTGTAATAAATTCAATAAAGACTTTAAGAATGGTCCACATCAAAAAAATAAAAACTTTGTGAAAATTTCAAATGTATAAAAGTAGAGAAAATAGGTTAATCTCCATTTACTTATCTCATTGGGCTTCAAAAGCTATCAACTCATGGGCCCATCCCGTTTCATAGATATATACTCCTATTCATTCTGTCTATTCCATGATACATTACTTCATGTGTACATATTTCAATTGTATATCTAAAAGAAACTTCTAAAAAGTCATAACCACAGAAACCTCCTAACCACTGTGACATTGTCAGTTATACAGAAAATTAATAAATAACATCAAATATTATATGGGCAGATTTCCCTAAATGTCTCAAATTATTTTTATACTTTGAATTAGGATCCAAGCAAAGTCCATATATTGCAGTTGGTTGACATGTCACTTACATCTCTTTTTTAATCTGAGTTTTCCTTTGATCTCTTCTGTCTTGCAGTTTAAAGAATTGGGGTTATTTTTATATTTTTATAGGTTTCTCTAGACTAGATCTATGTTCATCCTATATTTCATTAGCAGTTGTAGAAAGATGATACTTACTTGTGTCTTTCCTTGTTTGTGTATTAGGTGAAATACTACCCCCATCAACTACTTGGTTGTACAGAGGTTCAGTTTATATAGGAAAAGCAAGATAAATACTAATTCTTTGCCTTTATTTACCAGTTTCAAAAATAAGAAGTTGCTTACTTAGCATCCTGCAGTGGTGACCAATGAAAGGGAAAGAGAGAGAAATATTATGAACTTATAATTAAACATATTGAAATTCAATACATAGCCCTTATTTTTGCTCAAATTATTCAATTTTCACCAGTGATTCTGTTTAGATTGGCTCTGGAGTCCTTTTGATATACCCTTAGTAGTCTTTGATAGTTTCCTTGCTTTCCAATTTAATGTTCCAGGATGAACTTACACATTTTCTGTTCTAGACCTGTAATTGGCTATTTCTCAGGAGCTTTGTTGGCTCCTTTTGAAGTGAGAATTAATATTTAGATACCATGGTCTACATGCTTAGAATGCTCATTGCTGCTGGGTCAGTTCCATAACTTTTTTGCAGTAGGATTATTTTTAGTATTTCATGAGGAGTTTGATTATATTCATACTCCTCACCTACACATCACATAAAACTTACCCTTTAAAAGCATACAGTTCAGGAGTTTTAGTATGTTGTGCTAAACCACCACTTATCTGTTTTCTGTCTCTACCTAGATTTAAAATTCTGGGCAATTCATATAAATGAAATTGTACAATATGGTATTTTGTGCCTGGCTTCTTTCAGTTAGTATTATGTTTTCAGTGTTCATCCGTATTGTATCATGTGTCAGTATTTTAGTCTTTTTTTATTGCTGGATAATGTTCCATTGTGTGGATATACCACATTTTATTCTTTCATCGTTTGATGGACATTTGGGTTGTTTCTGCTTCTTGGCTATTATGAAAAATGCTGTGAACATTAACACACAAGTTTTTGTGTGGATATGTTTTCAGGTGTCTTGGGTATATACCCAGGAATGGAGTTAATGACTCATATGGTGAATTTTAAAGGAACTGCTAAACCATTTTCTACAGCAGTGCATGAAGGTTTCAAGTTCTCCACGTTCCACTACCTTTTTTATGTTCATTTCTTCATCACTGGAGTTGCACTTTGTTATGTGTTTTGAAAAACTACAAATCCACTTCTATTTGAGTTATTTAAAATATAGCAGTTTGAATATGTATATGGTACTGTCATTAGACATTTAATTCTAAAACACAAATATCTTTTGCACAACATTAGGGCAGTTTAAAAATAAAATTCATCCAGTAGGTGTTTCTTTTTAAAGTGATCTTTAAGAGATTTTTTTCTAATAAGTTCATACCCTCAGGAATAATTTCTTTGCCTTTCCTCCTTTCCTTTTTAATTAATTCCAACAGGTGGCCTCTTTACATACCCTTGCCACCTCATCTAAAACAGCAGTTCTTTGTTACTCATCTCTAAACCCTGCTTTATTTTCTTTGTAACACTTACCAGCTACCTAATATAAACATATCTATCTATTTGTTTCTAGTGGGGAAGGCAGGCAGTAAAATTTTTATTTTATTTCATTTTTTAAATTTATTTTTGGCTGCGTTGGGTCTTCGTTGCTGTGTGCGGGCTTTCTCTAGTTGAGATGAGCGGCGCTAGTCTTTTTGTGGTGCACAGGCTTCTCATCGTGGTGGCTTCTCTTGTTGCGGAGCACAGGCTCTAGACGTGCAGGCTTCAGTAGTTGCAGCATGTGGGCTCAGTAGTTGTGGCGCATGGGCTTAGTTGCTCCGCATCATGTGGGATCTTCCCGGACTAGGGATCGAACCCGTGTCCCCTGCACTGGCAGGCAGATTCTTTTATTTATTTATTTATTTAGGCTGCATTGGGTCTTCGTTGGTACACGCGGGCCCCCTCCAGCTGCGGCGAGCAGGGGCCACCCTGCGCCGTGGTGTGCGGGCTTCTCACTGCAGTGGTCTCTCTTGCCGCAAAGTGCGGGCTCTAGGCGCATGGGTCTCAGCAGCTGTGGTGCAAGGACCCAGCTGCCCCAAGGCACGTGGGAGCTTCCCAGACCAGGGATCGAACCCGTGTCCCCTGCAATGGCAGGTGGACTCTCAACCACTGCACCATCAGCGAAGTCCCAGGCATTAAAATTAAACACCGTGACTTTTTGGTTACAGTTGTCTCCCCTAGATCTAGAGCAGTGCTTGGGTTATACTAGGTGTTGAATAATTATTTATTGAAATGAATGAATAAATGAGAATTTTATGCTAATCTCTGTTCTTGAGCTAGGTTATATCACAAAGACTTGTTTTAGGTTTGAATAATGGTAAGAATGATGACTCTGACTTGATTTGTTACTAAACCACTTGGTTCTTCCTCATCCTTCTAGCCTCTGAACAATGGAGTACTCCAAACCACCACTTGGTCCTCTTAGTTTCTCCATCTGTACTTGCCCCGGAATTTACTAGCTTTAATGCCATCCACACCGTTATGGCTCCCACATTTATGTTACTATCTCTAGCTTCCATCTTCTTCATCTCCAGGCTAGTTTGTTCAGCTTTTACTTGGTGTCTTCAACGGGATATCTGATAGGCATCTCAAATATAACGTGTCTAAAACGGAACCTTTGATTCCCTGTTTCCCCTCCTGTACCTCTGCACAGAGTGGGTAATCCATTTTTCTTAATGTTTTCCCTCATCAGTAAGTGGGAAATCCTTGCTTCTAGATGCTGAAGCCAGGAAGTGTGACTTCTTTTATTTAATGAATTAGCTCAAATCCTGTGGGTGGTAATTTCAAAATATATCCAGAATCCAGCAGTGTCTCAACCATTTCCATCACTACTTCTTACGGTGATTATTTCCTTCTGACAGGTCTTCCTGTTTCCTCCTATGCTCCCTCTGTTCCCGCCCTATAGCCAGAGCCATCCTTTAAGTCACCTCATGTCACTCCTTTGTTGATAACTGCACAAGGCTCCACATGTTCTGGGCCCTGCTACTTCTTTGATGTCCTCTGTTCCCTCACTTTCACTGCTCACAAAGAGTTTACTTTGAATATTGAATCCCAGACTGCCTAAAATATCCTATATTCATGGAAGTTCAGTGAACTAGAAATGCTGGCTTTGCATGAAATGTATTTTTTTTTAAAAAGCTACTTATTAGAGATGATAGTGTTCTTACTAGCCTGTCTTTGAGTTTCTTGTTAGGTATTCCTCCCCCACTCTTATAGTTGTTTCTGAAAACCAGGTAAAGGTATTAGTGCAGTTTATGTGACTTTTCAGTGAGCACAGGATATTGGGGCAAAAGGCAGTTTTTTCATATTTTTTTTACTAAGCCAGTTTGGTTCCCACAGATGGGGAGATCCACTTTGAATTTACAGATAACCACAAAAACATACTGTAATATTACAAGAATGTTGTTTTTGCATTTGCAGGTTAGTTTTAGTTATTGCTTTATTATTTTCATCTAAGGTTTATAATATTTTTTGTATTGCTATCAACATTAAGAACATGAGCATTTGCTACTTTTTTGCTCAAATAGTTTATGACCAGGAGGATTTTCACAAGGGAGTTAAGGAGTTTGGATTTGACTAGTGGGGATTGGCTGGGTGATATTCAGCTTTTCCTTGGCTGACTGGTCAGGTCTTTAGGTCCTTGTATATGCAGTTTCTTTAATTAGGGTATGGCCAAACGGGGCGGGGGTGTGTGTGGGAATTGCCAATTTTGTCCTTTTTTTTTTTCTTTTTCAAGATCCAGGCATAAACGAAAGAAAAGCCTTGCCAAGATACGGAAGAAAGGACGGGGATCTCTCCTCCTAATCTGGGCCTCCTGTCATGGTAAGTACAGAGAAATAACAAGAAAATTGAACTTGAACTCTGTCCTGACAATTAAGTGAATACTAATAAGTTCAGTTACCCATTTTTGTTATTGTGAGAAATCATTTCACTTTTTCTTTCCCAGAACTCTCTTGTCTATTTTCTTTTATTGTTTACTTATTAGTAATAATTTTAGAATATTCTAGTGTCTTAGAGCAGTTTTGCTTCTATTAACTTTAATCCTGTGAGTTAGATATTGTCTCTTTTCAGTAAGATAGTAAATGGAGTCAAGACTAAAACCCATGTTTCTTGGACTACAGGGTTCTTATTCCTTTTCTAGGAAGGAAGGTATCATGAAAAGCTTTTCTCTGTGTGTGTGTGCGCGCGTGCGCACGCGCGCATGTGTGTGTTTTGTGTGTAGGAGAATTTATGGTCATACACATATTCTTTATGAATTTACCTTTCTGGATAGAAGCAATTCCCTGTCTTTCCTGTCCTGTCTCTTTAAGGCATTATTTTTATCCCAGAGAAGATGAAGTAGCTCAGCACACTCCCTACCTACCTACGTCTTTGACTAAAATGAGTGTATTTCAGTGACTTGTGGGCTATTTAGGACCCAGTTCAGGCAGAGATGATGGAGCAATGAGCCAACCACATTTCTATCAATCCTGAGAACATGTAAACCGTGCTCCAAGGCTTAAATAAGAAATGGTCCTCTGTAATATTGTCCCACTTCTATCTTGGTGATGTTTTCTAGAACCAAACTCTGTCTCATGCTGGTGCACAAAAAACGAAAAGGCCATGTTAATTTCAAGCTTCATTAGGAACATGGGTTGAAAGTGCTTTTCAAAATTAAAAACAAACTAAAACAAAACAGAAAAACTAGTTGTATAGAAGTGTCATTAAAACGACGACAAAGGTAACTGCTGTCATCTTAAATCTTTGCCAGTTTTTTCTTAGTTTGTGGGCATAACAACTTTCTAATGTATTCTGTACCCAAACACTGATGAGCTTTTCTTTAGACTATATTTTATTTTATTGGTTTTCATGAGTTTTTAATGAATTGAAAAAGTGTTTGCCTAATATTTTATGGTATGTATGCCAATGCTAATGAGTAGCAAATGGTGGGCTTATGAAAGCAGCTCTGTTCTGTACTGAGGGGTTGTCCTTCATTGTGTACCACATAGCTACAACGGTGTAGTCCTCATTCTGGTGCTGCTGGGGTCTCTGGTGCCCTGCAGACAGTCTTCCTGGTGCGCTCTGGAGATACTTCTGTGTGCAGTATTTGGCGAGCAGTATGACCATGGGTCTTTTTTAAAAAATCTGTCATAAAGTAGCATTATAACAAGTTTTTACAAGTACTTATTTACACCTCTTCCACCAAAACCCATGGTTGTGTTCCTTTCTAGTTTATGTCGATATGTAGTTGGAATTAAAACATAATTATTTTGCTTATTTCACTAAATGAATTAAACATTTTCACTCGTTGACTCATTGGATTCCTAATGATTTTTTACTAGCTACATCATTTTGCAAGTTGTTGAATCATTGATTTAAATAATATTAATTAATTTCTTTTGTTTTAGAATTTTGGTTCTGTGTCCTTAATCCTTATTTTTTGTATAGAGAATTCAGAAGTACTGGTTTTTCTTTGTTTTTTTAGTGTATACTTCTATACTAATTTGAGTAACATCCTCATACTTTTAAAAGTTCTTAAATGAGATTGAGGTTTCTTCGGGAGATTAAGTATTAGGAAGATGTTTTCATGTTTCATTATGGAAAATCTCAAGCCTGTACAAATCGAGAATTGTATGATGAACCCTCATATATGCATCAACCAGCTGCAATAATCATCAGTTCATGGCCACACTTGTTTCTTCTGACTCCCTCACCCACACCTCTTTGTATTATTTTGAAACAGATCACAAACATTATATCAAGGGAAATTTATTTTTGATCGCCTTTAATACCAGTCTTAAGAATGATAAATTGACAGACTGACAGTCACTTTAACTTTTACATTTGTCAAATGTTCCTACAGGTATTTCACTCTTAAGTATAGTTTTTTTTTTAATCCTGGAAGGCTGTATATAAATTCAGTTTATAGACATTTCCACTGGTCAGCCTCTACTCGCCATGTTCTTTAAATATTTATCTCTAATGTTGACTTCTGAGGTATAGACTTAAGTCTCTTACCTGCATAGTTTAGTGAATAGCAGAAATTAGCCTGGAACTGTGGTGACTGATCCCTTTTCAAGATTTTATAGGTGACCCCGTATGGCGCTGGTGGAGATTAAGTACCACCAGATTCCACAATGCCTGGTGTTCCTCAGCAATAGCAGGAAATCGACCATGTGGAATACATTCTCCTACTAATAAACTACTGCTTATAGCTAGCCTAGGAGAAATTTGTTTTCAAGCCTCTTATCAGGCTAACACTTTGACAGACTTTTTCTTTTTCTTTTTTTAGTACATTTATTTATTTATTTATGGCTGTGTTGGGTCTTCGTTGCTCCACACGGGCTTTCTCTAGTTGCGGTGAGCGGGGGCTACTCTTCATTGCAGTGTGCGGACTTCTCATTGTGGTGGCTTCTCTTGTTGCAGAGCATGGGCTCTAGGCACGCGGGCTTCAGTAGTTGTGGCACGTGGGCTCAGTAGTTGTGGCTTGTGGGCTCTAGAGTGCAGGCTCAGTAGTTGTGGCGCATGGGCTTAGTTGCTCCGCGGCATGTGGGATCTTCCTGGACCAGGGTTTGAACCCGTGTCCCCTGCATTGGCAGGTGGATTCTTAACCACTGTGCCACCAGGGAAGTCCCCAGACTTTTTTCTTCCTTGCCTTTTGTCTCCTTCCAGCTCTTCCTCCATCAGCCATCTCAAGTTTGTCCTCCCTTTTACATAATGAAACTCAGAAACTGTAATAAATTAGGTAGTTGATTTAGCTTATGTTTAGCCAAGTAATGTTTTTACCATTCTTCTTGGAAAGTCTATGAATAGTTTAATCCTAATCCTTGGGGATTAAATGCATTTTTATGTATTGTGTTGGCCATAAAGTTCATTCGGATTTTTCTGTAAGAGCTTGTGGGAAAATCCGAACGAACCTTTTGGCCATCCAATGTAAGGGGGAAAATCAGTCCAGAAGCTGTACAGGTAACGTGAACTGAGACAGTTTTATTAAAAAAAGCATTTATTTCATTTGACTGTGAAATATTATTTCTTTATGCTCATCTTGTTTGCCAAATTCTCAGTTCTCTTATGCTGAAAATCATTTGTTCCATTTTCAGTTTTCGGTAACTGCTTTGGTTATATGCATTGGCCTGGATTAGCCCCCAAGTAAATGTGCCAGCAAGAATGAATTGATAAATGGCTTCTCTAGTTTTTTTTTTGTTGTTGTTGTTGTTTAGGCCTGCTATGTTATTTCAGTTCTATGCTATTTAGAGGTCAGTAAAAATCTAGTCCAGGAATCACTTAAAGAATTAATGATGTGTCAAATGATCTTGAAGAGAATAAAAGTTTAGGCCTTATATATTTAGGTGAGTTTAAAAAGGTAATGTGATGCTGAGAAAGCATGTTTACAATGTACTTTTATGTAATAATTTTTAAAAGCCCCCCCCCATATTTTATAGCTTTTCCTGCCTATCCCCTATTGGTTTATGAGAAAAACTTCCTAAATTCAAGTTTTCTCATATCTTTTCTCTTTAGTGCTGAGTGTGAATACTCAGTATTAAGTCAAGAACTACATCTTAAGAATGGAAATAGAATTGGTTAAAAGAAAAAAAGGTAACATTTATAGAAAAATTGAGTTCCTTTCAAATATGACTATGTCCCTTATTCCTTCACCCAATCATTGACCTCAGAGGAAGTGAGTGGAAAGGAATAAAATGGAACAGATTGACACAAAACTCTTCATATAACAGGTTATTTTGGTGTTTATAGAAGTGGAGTCATCCTTCGTACACCCTAGGTAATTATATTTCTTGAGGCTCCAAGCCATGTCATATCAACCTTACTAAAACATACCAACTTCATTAAACTTTTATTTATTTATTGCTATAAATAACTGAATAGATTTTTATACTTTTGCTTTTGAAATTATTTGATTATCAGCTATGATTTCTTGACAGTCATGGTGAATACTTAGCAGTGTCACTTCCCTAGGACTGCTAAGTATATGACAAGTTTTATATTTTTTGATAGCATTTTATGAACCATTTATAAAGTTGTTACAGTTTTATTTTTAGAATTTGAAGCCGCTAATTTCTTTATACATTTTAAGTATCAAACTTTTTAAAAGTTTGTGCCTCAAGATAAAACCTGTGCCTCAAGATAAAATGGCCCCTTAGAGGGGTTGGAATGGGCCCAGTCAGCTAGAGTAGCAAAGATACAGTTTTATGGGTAGTAGCTGAGTGAGTGAGTGTTGTTGAAGTCTCTGTATGGCTGTTCGTTTCATCACTAGGTGACTGGTTTTATAGAAAGCCTGACTTCAGATTAAACAGCTTTACTTGGTACAGTCAGTGGTACCACATCCATGGATTCCCCGATTAATCGGGGAAAATTACAGAAAATTCCAAAAAGCAACACCTGAATGTGCTGTGCACCAGCAACTATTTACATAGCATTTACTTTATATTAGGTTTTATAAGTAATCTAGAGGTGATTTAAAGTATACTGGAGGATGAGTATATGCAGTATATACAGTATTATATGCAAATACTGTATACCTTTTTTATATAAGGGATTTGAGTATCCATGGGAGTGCTGTGTGTCCTGGAACCTATCCCCCTCAGATACTGAAGGACGAATGTGTTTAGTAGTGGATTATAGTAGAGCAGCAATTCTCAAAGTCTTTGGTCTGAGGACCTCTTTTTACATTCTTGACTTATTGAGGGCCCTAAAGAGCTTTTGTTTATGTAGGGTGTGTCTGTCTGTATTTACTATCTTAGAAGTTAAAAGCTGGGCTTCCTTGCTGGCACAGTGGTTAAGAATCCGCCTGCCAATGCAGGGGACACGGGTTCGATTCCTGGCCCAGGAAGATCCCACATGTCACGGAGCAACTGAGCCCGTGCACCACAATTACTGAGCCTGTGCTCTAGAGCCCGTGAGCTACAACTATTGAGCCCACGTGCCACAACTACTGAAACCTGCGCACCTAGAGCCCGTGCTCTGCAACAAGAGAAGCCACAACGAGAGTCCGCGCACCGCAACGAAGAGTAGCCCCCGCTTGCCGCAACTAGAGAAAGCCTGCGCACAGCAACGAAGACCCAACACAGCCAAAAAAAAAAGAACAAATTTATTTAAAAAAATAATAATAAATTTATTTTTAAAAATAGTTAAAGCTGAGAAATCTTTAAAATGTTCATTAATTCATTTAAAAATAACAATAACCAATTAAATGTTACCATAACACTTTTTATGAAAATTAACTTTTTCCTCATCCGACAATAATTAATATAAAAGAGTAGCATTGATTTTTACAGTTTTGGGGTTTTTTTTGTTTTTGTTTTTTTCCGGTACGCGGGCCTCTCACTGCTGTGGCCTCTCCCGTTGCGGAGAACAGGCTCCAGACGCACAGGCTCAGTGGCCATGGCTCACGGGCCCAGCCGCTCCGCGGCACGTGGGATCTTCCCGGACCAGGGCACGAACCCGTGTCCCCTGCATCGGCAGGCGGACTCTCAACCACTGCGCCACCAGGGAAGCCCTTTACAGTTTTTTTAAAAATGTTTGGCTTAATAGATGATAGCTGGATTCTCATACCTACTTCTCCATCCAATTTGTTACAGTATGTTTTTTTTTAAATAAATGAAGTAAATCCAGCCTCACAGAGATTCATAGTTAGAGGAAGAGTATTTTAATAGTTTTTCCAGGTAGTTGTGTGTATTCTTCTATTATACTGCATCAAAACTTGACAAGTATCAGTTCTTTTTAATAAATAAATTTATTTATTTATTTTTGGCGGCATTGGGTCTTTGCTGTGCACGGGCTTTCTCTAGTTGTGGCGAGCGGGGGCTACTCTTCGTTGCAGTGCGTGGGCTTCTCATCGCGGTGGCTTCTCTTGTTGCAGAGCACCGGCTCTAGACGTGCGGGCTTCAGTAGCTGTGGCTTGCCGGCTCTAGAGCGCAGGCTCAGTAGTTGTGGCCCATGGGCTTAGTTGTTCCACGGCATGTGGGATCTTCCCGTACCAGGGCTTGAACCTGTGTCCCCTGCCTTGGCAGGCAGATTCTTAACTACTGCTCCACCAGGGAAGCCCCGACCAGTATCAGTTCTTTGAAGGTTAGTTGCAGTGTGGAATCTGAAGCCATATCAGTGAACTTTTTGTATTATGTTAAAACCATAGGTCTGTCTTGCACTTTAAATTAATCTTTTATCCATGCATAATTTTGTAACATCAAAAATAGGTCATTTAGGGGCTTCCCTGTTGGCGCAGTGGTTGAGAGTCCACCTGCCGATGCAGGGGACACGGGTTCGTGCCCTGGTCCGGGAAGATCCTATATGCTGCGGAGCGGCTGGGCCCGTGAGCCATGGCCACTGAGCCTGCGCGTCCGGAGCCTGTGCTCCACAACGGGAGAGGCCACAACAGTGAGAGGCCCGCGTACCACAAAAAAAAGAAAAAAGAATGGGTCATTTTGAAAATAATGAGGAGTGAGTAATGCAGATCTTCCAAATGTCGACATATTTCGTGATAAAATTTCTTTAAAAAATCACCCTTGGGGACTTCCCTGGTGGAGCAGTGGTTAAAACTCCCAGTGCAGGGGATACGGGTTCGATCCCTGGTCCGGGAAGATCCCACATGCCGTGGAGCAGTTAAGCCTGTGTGTCACAACTGCTGAGCCTGTGCTCTAGAGCCCATGAGCCACAACTACTGAGCCCGGGTGCCATGACTACTGAAGCCAATGCGCCTAGAGCCCGTGCTCCACAACAGGAGAAGCCACCACAATGAGAAGCCCGCGCACCGCAACAAAGAGTAGCCCCCACTCTCCGCAACTAGAGAGAAAGCCCGCATGCAGCAACGCAGACAAAAACAAACAAAAAACCTTGAGTATTGTTTGTTTATAGGTAGGATTTTTCTTTCTTTGAGATTAAAAAATTGTTAGAAGTGTGATAAGTAGCATGTGTGGAAATGTCCACTAACTAGTGGTTGTACTTCTTACTGGTGCTGTCAGTTTAACAAGATGTGGTTTTGCTTATGTAAAATTTGCTGTGTAAACAGATTCCATCATAATTTAAAGTCAGACTTTCCACCAGATTGCTTTTTCCCCCTGGTCTTCCTATACCATAAAAATTCATAATGTAAAAGGCTACTTTTTAATATAAATTATAATCAGTTCATGTGCCATTTAGATTATAATTTATTGCTTCTTTGAAATTGCCTTAATAGAAATAAATCTAATTTGTAATATAAAGCAGATTATGCTAGGGGTAGTGGTTCACACATGTTTTCAGTTTGAGAATTCACTTCTTAAGTTTACATTAAAAAGAAAAAAACTTTCTGTTATGGAAAGTTCACATATAACCAAAGTAGACACAGTGGTATAGTGAACTCTCACTTAAAAGTTGCATGAATTATCCCTCATGGACAGTTCTGTTTCATTTATGCCCCATTCCCTTCCCTCTCCAATTATTTTGAAGCAAATTCCAGACGGGAGTCACATCATTTCATTTTTATATAATGCAGAATGTATCTTTCAAAAATAAGAATTAAAGGTTATAACTTAAGAGAAAAAAGCCACTGTATCTTGGTTTCTCTTAAAAGTAATATACTAAGAACTTATTAGTGCTTAATAGAAATGTTCTTAACCTCTTTAACTTTTTTTTTTGGCATTGGTGTGTTCTCCATCTAAAGGCGCCTAATGTATTAGATGGAACACTTTTGGGGGTGAATATTTTTTCATTGAGCTTTCTGCCAGTCCACCGTGGTCACTGGACTCTCACTGTTATTATGCTTCTAGACATGGCAGAAAAACCCAGTATGGATGAGTAGGAGCTTTGAAATTATTTAAACATTTGGGTTTTTCCAGGATGAAGAGACTCGGCACAGCCTTGAGTGCATCCAGGCCAATCAGATCTTTCCCAGGAAGCAGCTGATCCGGGAGGATGAGAATCTTCAGGTAATTTCAGGCCACTTTTGATTGTGAAATAAGTATTAAGCATCATAGTAACAATGTAGCAGAACTAATGGATTCAAGTAATGTGCTATGTATAGGAAAATATGTATTAGAAAAATATATTTTTTCCTGAGCCATACACATAATAGAAATATAAGCTGGGAAACATCTCTCCTTTTAGAAAGACTTTTTTTTCCTGAGAATTCACTGAGATGATCATCTCTGTGTCATTCCTTCTGTAGTCTAGAATATGAATAACTAGGTTTTATGAATCTTGAATCTTGTGGGTATAAACCCATCCTCTTTAGGTCCCTTACCCATTTATGTACTGTTTTTGAGTGACAATGTTTATCATTCATTCACCTGACCCGTGTTTGAACACTTTGCTTTACTGCTTCAAAACTCTGAAGGGTTTCTTCTTCCATTTTGAAGGTTCCTTTCCTTGAACTTCATGGAGAAAGCACAGAGTATGTGGGCCGTGCTGAGGATGCTATCATTGCCCTTTCTAATTACAGACTTCACATCAAGTTCAAGGAGTCTCTGGTTAACGTAAGTGTTTCTCAACTGTTCTCCCACTAAAGTAGATGGAGAAAGGAAGCATTCAATAAAAAAAACTTGTTACTGTTCTCAAAGAGAGGAGTGTTATATGGGGTTTGGTTTGAAAACCTTGTGTGCTCTGCTTTTCTCTCACTTAATTTAAGCACTCAGGGACACTAGGTTAGCAAGCAACTCTTGTGCTTGATTTAAAATGATACATGTAGTTGTCAGCTAAGGTGTCCATTGTCTACTAACACTGCATGAATTGCAGTAGGTAATGTTGTACCATTAAGCTTTGTAAGGGTGCAAAGGCTGTATAGGCTTTTATTCCTCATTTTTTAGTAGTTGCTGACTGCCTCAGTTGAGAGAACTTCCTGGCCCTTAATGTCAAATGTTGAGTTGTACTTTGAGCTCAGTGCAGACTTCTGTTATAGGATGAAGTTATTCTAATGGCTCCTTAGTGGTATTAAGTATAGATGTCAAGTACAATGTATATTTGCATAATGGACTATATATTGCTGAAGAGAAGGAAGGCTTTCAGTTTTCGAGTGCATTTACCCTTTTCAATTATGAGGGTATTCTCAGTGAACTGGTTCTTCCAGCACACTTGCCATCATTAATAGTTTTCAATAAACGTGCCTTTCACCACAAAAATGTGAAGGTTCATGTATTTCAACCAAATGAATGCCTTCTTCCTTCCTCACTGGACCGTATTGTGGCTTTTTGCACTTTGGTTCTAGCACAAAGAAGTGTATTATGACATCTTGTAAAAGCTCAGGACTGTAGTTTCATTCAGATTGCGTGTTTTGGGGTTCATTTTGGGATTCTTAGAAAAAGTTTACTCAGCCATCCAGAAGTTACCCAATTCCTTCATCATATTTTTCCCTTGGCAAGACTCAAATGGCTGACATTTGCTTTGTGGTTGGCATTTATTATTTTAGTATTTATTATTATTCTTTGTAGTTAAGCATTTATATCCAGGAATCATTGTGGCCTGAATTCCTTCTGGTTTCTAGATTTGGGCTATGATCATATCTGTTATGTTAGTTTTCTGCCTATCAGCTAAAAATACACACTGGATTCATCAAGGAAAGAGGCATGTTGTGCTTTCTTACCATATAGCACTGTATTCAGAAGGGCCCATTTGGAATTGGGTGGCCGTGATAGGAGGGGACAGGATTGAATCTCCTATTACATTCCAGCAACCAGGCGTTTCCTACCAGCTACTGTGGAAATAATGACAGTAATAATTAGTAGAATTGCCCAATTTAATTTTGTGTTTAAACTGTGTTTAAATGTCTAGAATTGATGAAATTGTAATTAAATTGCATGTGGAGATAATTTAGTTTCATATCATTGCATTTTTCCATACAGTCCTCTGTCTCTCAGCTTTTTGGTTTATGGCGAAGTATTTCAGAGACTATTTTTAGATCTATTTGGGAATATGGTCTGTTGGAGAGAAAGCATGGATTTGATCATGTCATTCACCAGCCTGAAGCCCTTCAGTGTTTCTTAACTACTTCTAAGATGAAATTACTTAGCATGGTATGATCCTTGGTCCCTGACAGCTTTTCTGTATCCCTCTTTTCCCCCTTCTTCCCTTTGTATTGGTAAAACCACCCTCCTTGGAATCTCAGACATACTTTACACCTCTGAGTTCTCTTTTCTCCTACCCAGGGAACTTCTCTTCATCTGTCAAAACCCAGTTCAGGTGATAAATTCTTCTGTGAAGCCTCTCTCAATCTCAGTTCCCTCCCTGACAGTTTATTACCCTCTCTTCTGGCTTTTTCTGTATCTTGAACATACCTTTACAACATTTACCAGATATGCTATAATTTTTTGTTTATTCATCTTTGTATCTTCAGAATCCAGCATGTGTACTGGTGCCATGGTATTCAGTAAATACTAAAGTGAATTGAAGTTAATAGGGGTTTGAAATTGATATTAGACCATTTTTAAACCCCCTTTGGGTTTAAAGTTCATTTTAAAACATACTTCTGTGTAAATACACCTGTGTCATCTTGTCTCTTAACAGTAGCTGTATGAGTAGGTTGTTTACTGGAATTGTTGGTCCCCCACTGTGATTGAGATACAGTGCTTAAGAAAACTTACCCCTGTTTTTACTTTTGACTCATTTCTTCACCTAAAAGTGCTTTCCATTTAGCATTATAACCCTCTAAGGCATAGAGCCTGCATGTCACGTTTTTAAAAGCCCAAGATAATGGTTTTGCACAGAAAAATTGTTGTGCAAAAGTATTTTGGCGTTGCAGTGACTTTAAACATTTCAGGTTGAGAGCGACTAGGACTTCTTCATACAAGTACGTTAATCACATCACAGTTAGAGCTAAGGTTACTAAAACCTGTGGTTACTCCAGGAAACAATGGCTCCTCCTACACTGGGTCCTCCCTCAGCAGATAAGCATTTCAGTAAAATCTGTGAGATTAAGAGACCCCCCCTTTAAAGGTTATTATATCTAAATCAAACATAAATCTACCATCACCCAGATGTACCAGTATATATTGTGGCATGCTCCAGTTTGCATCATTTTGTATGCTTTTAAATCAACACACATCATTTTGTATACTTTTGAATCAACACATTTAGCACTTTAGAGGATGACTTACTGTCAAGCTTTAAATAGTTACCTGATAATCATATATTCTCTGTTAATTTCACAGCAGCGCTGAGATACATCATTACTTTAATGCATACACATTCACTGGATATCAAGTTTCCAGTTTCTGGGGTAAAGAACCTCTAGTACAGTTCAGTTGTAGCATTTAAGGTATGAATTGCTCCTATTCTGTGCTTTTCCCAAACTATATTTTTACATATGTACAGGTAATTTGCTCAACTAATTTATAAACAAGTAAGTGTTCAAGTGGAGTTCATGAAATTTTTAAACAATTCTTGTTGTGTAATTCAATAGACCGCCTCTCAATCTGCTGCTTCTGCAATCCCAGTAAGTAGCATGAGAATTCTAGGCGGTTGTTGCACCTGTGCTTGGAACAAACTGGTTTTGAGTGTCAGATGCTCACCTTGCAAATCAGCAAAGTGTGTCATCTCTGCATGAGTCCCTTCCCTCATATTAGACAAAGTTCTAGTGGTTTCCTATATGAGGACAATTTGTGGGGTGGGGATAAAGCCACACAGTTTAAACATAAGCGGGTGGAATTGTGACCTTCAAAAAATGTAAACTGAATTTCAACCAGAAATAATTTGTAAAGTCAATGTGAATATTTAAAAGGACATTAAAACTCCATTTCCAGACTGCTCTGTTAATGCTTCTTAGGAACAAGCTGGAAGTATACTTGGAAACACTTTACTTAGCATTTTCCTAGATTCTTTCCATTGCCTAACTATTGTATATCAAAAATCTTCATTCCCCAAGCATCAAAAGGAGGTTATTGTTAACAGTGCACTTTGGCCTTAGCATTCATAAATCAGAATAGCTTCTGAAACCAGTATGGAAGAGTACCTTGTAAATACCACAGGTGAGCAATAAAGAGTTGAGAATGAAGAGGTGAAGGGGTGAGAATAAAGAGTTTGGGTCTTTAACCTGTGACAGTCTTCTTCCTCTGACAGTTTTTTTTTTTTTTTTTTTTTTTTTTTGCGGCACACGGGCCTCTCACTGTTGTGACCTCTCCCGTTGCGGAGCACAGGCTCCGGACGCGCAGGCTCAGCGGCCATGGCTCACGGGCCTAGCTGCTCCGCGGAATGTGGGATCTTCCCAGACCCGTGTCCCCTGCATCGGCGGGCGGACTCTCAACCACTGCACCACCAGGGAAGCCCCCTCTGACTGGTTTTTGAGTCATAGGTGTTAGAGCCCAGATATTCCAGTGTGTTACAGATTTTAGGTTAAGACTCATTACATTATTTTTTACTCTGCTATTGCCAGTTTTACCTCACATGTGTATGCAAGATTAGTACTTCCCATTCATGCTATAAAAAGGGCATTTGTTTTTAAAAGGTACACATTATCCCACTTTTAAATTCTGGTGCTTAAAAAATAATTCACACACACCCCCCCACCCACCCAGAATGAATTATGGTAAATATAGTAGGATATGATGATATAAAACTCCCTCTGGAATGAGACAGTACTGTGGGTCTTTTAGACTTGTGCATGTCTATTAAATTTTTAAACTGCCACTCTTCTGCTTTTTTGGATTGATGCTCTTATGAGTTTTGGTGTACATGATATAACTTTTGACCTTTTGAGGAATTGATTAACAGCACTGAGTGTGTTTGATGTATTTTGAGCATGAGTTTGGTGGGTTTTATAAGAGGAAAAGCACTGTAATGGGAGATAGAATTGCCTGGCAGGTAGAAGGCAGAGGAGAAAGGAGCAAAAAGAAAATGAGTTGCTACAAAACACTGAATCAGTGGGTAAGAGGATTTGAATGTGACTTTAGATTTCTTTGAATTGCCTCTAAGGAATCTTGGTTTACATTCCGTTTTCCTCTTGAAGATCCCTGGTAAAGAGGCTACTACTTAATTGTGAAAGAAAAACTAAAGTAGAGCTCACACAGAAGGGAAGGGCATCTTAGAGGAAGAAAGAAAGGAGTACCATATGTAATGGAAGGACCCTGAGCTAGAGGACAGCCATGGATTCTTGTCCTGACTTGCCGCTAGCTTTAGTGTAGTGGCTTAACCTTCCTGGGCTATAAAATGGTCTGGCTCTTGTGTCTGTAATTCTTTGTTATGAGGTTGAATATTGGGTATGTCTAGTTACAGAAATGGTAAGAGAGCCTCCTAATATGTGATGAAAGTTGAGAAACCTAAGTCAGTGGACTTGCCTTTAAAAAAGTAGAGAACCTTATGTTTTGGTTGGATGTATGAAGAGGAAAAGAAGCCTATCTCTGGCTTTTTAGAAGAGGAAGCAGTCTGGGGGCAGGGGTGCATTGAAGAGTAACATTGAGGTGAAAAGGGAAGAAAAAAGGGAGATACTCATTTGATATAAAATCAGGTATTTCCCTTTTAGGTCCTTGTTCTTGCTGCATATTAAACTTCCTTGCATGTGACAATTTGCATGATTATTAAAATCTGTTTTCTGTGCCTATGACTTGAGTACACATGGTTGTTTCTGGTGACTTGCTAGTATCTGTATACTAGCAACCAACATTTTTATCCTTATTCCTTAAATTTGCAGTGTTAAAATACATGAAAATTTGTATATTGAAAGCATTTAGGTAGCATGTGTTTTGCATGCTCTGAGGTGTTGCATATTTGTATTTTGGAAGTCTGGATATAGGATCTTGGGCTCTAGTCCAATAGTAGGGATGTAAACTTACCTGTTCTTTGTAGCAAAATAGCACAGACTGGTCCACTCCCTCCAGCAGCTGCTAATAGCGTTAGTTGGTTTTCAAGTTTTCTAACTATAAGGAAAGGTGATAGAAGGGGATCTGGGATGAGGGTGACTGCTGAGAGAGCAGGTGGATTTGTAAAGCTCACTCTCACTCTACCCCAGACTCTTCCCATTCCCTGTTCCTGGGACTTCCTAAGTTGTGACCATCCGAGGTTGAGAAAGCAAAGGCTTGTGTCATGTAGGAAGGTTGGAAGGTTGTCCAAGGAAGTCAGGAAGCATGCACAATTTTGGCTGGTAAAATTTTAGAAAATTGAGATAAGAACTCAGGCCTCTTAATTGCCCGTCTGGCAGCTCTTTTTTGTTTGTTTGTTTGTTTTGGGGGGGGGAGGGAGAAGGGGGTTGTAGGTTTAAAAACAAAGAAACCCAACATGAGTCTGTTATAGGATACCCAGAGGACTGGCCTGAGAACAAATCAGTGTTCTCTTCTGATCTCTTAATCTCCTATTACTTCTTTACAATTTATCCCCACTGATACATTGTTGGGTTTTTTTTTCCTTCTTAGACGTACAGGTCTTGAAAGAATTTTTAGCTGCATCAACTCCAGTTTCTCACAGCACCTTGGGGTTAAGGACTTAAACAGAGGGCCAAAGCTCCTTTTTTTCTCAGAACACAGGCAAGAATTCTTAGTCTTTCTCTTACTTCTGGTCCTATTATAAGTGTAAGGGAATTTTATTGATTAACCAAGAAGGCTAGGGTCTCCCTGGTGGCGCAGTGGTTGAGAGTACGCCTGCTAATGCAGGGGACATGGGTTCGTGCCCCGGTCCGGGAGGATCCCACATGCCGCGGAGCGGCTGGGCCCGTGAGCCATGGCCGCTGAGCCTGCACGTATGGAGCCTGTGCTCCGCAACGGGAGAGGCCACAGCAGTGAGAGGCCCGCGTACCGCAAAAAAAAAAAAAAAAAAAAAAAAAAGGCTCTAGTCCTGAGGTAGAACTCCCAGCCATTACCTGAGTAATATTATTTTGCTTTCTTCCCCTTTTTAATCCCTGCCCCAGTTTGTTTGTTTATTTGTTTGTCTAAGATGTCAGGCATTGAGCTTCTCTTTGATCTCCACATCCTTGTTCTGAGGGTTCTCAGCTGACTCTGGCAACCGCATGGTGGAGCAGCGTTTGCCAGAAGCCTGTTTCTGAAACTGGTTCAGCTAACAGGAGGACCACCCTGTGCAGGCAGCACTCTCTTGTTTCTGTCTGTTGGAAGAGACTGCCTCCTTCTCATGCAAAACATGAATTGTTGGAATGCTCCTTGCAACTCCCAGAGCCACATTTTGGTTGGGCTTGATACAGTGTAAAAAGACCCTTTTCCAATGAGTGAGAGTATCTACTATTATTTTTACCAGGCTCTCTTTAGAAGTTTTGGAAATTGTTTTTTGAAGCCAGGGGTTGAACCAGGATAAGATGAGGGACAGAGGGAGGATTCTAACAACCGCTTAAGGATTTGTCACCCTGTTCAGATGCTTTCCCTCCTGTCTGCCTGCCTTCTTTGATCCCTCTCCACTGTCATACTTATCCTGTGTTCAGTAGTCTGCTGACCAGATTGGCAGGGAAAGAACCATCCCAGCTTACTCATACCTTGAGCCCCACTTGGCAAACAGGGCTCCTCAGCTTGTCTTTTTTTTTTTTTTGGCTGCTTTGGGTCTTCGTCACTGCACGTGGGCTTTCTTTTCTCAAGTCGTGGAGAGCAGGGGCTACTCTTCGTTGCAGTGCGTGGGCTTCTCGTTGTGGTGACTTCTCTTGTTGCAGAGCACGGGCTCTAGGCACACGAGCTTCAGTAGTTGTGGCACGCTGGTTCAGTAGTTGTGGCTCATGGGCTCTAGAGTGCAGGCTCAGTAGTTGTGGTGCATGGGCTTGGTTGCTCTGTGGCATGTGGGATCTTCCTGGACCAGGGCTTGAACCTGTGTCCCCTGCATTGGCAGGCGGATTCTTAACCACTGTGCCACCAGGGAAGTCCCCTCAGCTTGTCTTTTGCAGCAAATTAGACCTAGATAATTAGGCCACTGTGAGACCTGCTCCCTTCTCCTCGTTACCTAGTCTACTGAGCAGAGAGCCTGACCCGCAGCTCTATCTACTCTCTTGTCTTTTTTGTGCAACCTGCAGGCAGTTCAGACCTCCAGTCTTTTTCAAGATTCTCCTTTGCTGACACAAAGCCACAAGCCCACCTTGTCATTTGGGGCAAGTGACAAGTGTAGTCCCACTAGCCTCTTGATCTGCAGCTCTTTTCTGTCAACAAGACAGGATAACTGTTCTGGTTCCCTTTAGCTTCTGTGTCATCACAAATCATAGCAAGCTCTAACCTTGTAAAGTAGTACTTTGAGAGATGAGTTTGAAAGTTTGTTGCCAGAAAGATGGCGTATTTCCCTGTTCTTCCAGATGTGGTGCCTCCTCTTTATTAGTTAGCTTTGTGCTATGACATGACTTGAGGGCACTGATTAGAGATTGAGAAAGGGAAACCCTAAATCACCCAGGAAATCACTTGAGTGCTATTGATTTAGATGGATATGCAGTTCTGTGCTTCTTTTTCCTGCAGAACTTTCTAATCACTTTTGTTGGACACACTGAAGAACTGCAGGGTCAATACCTTTTTGACTAAGGGAACTTCATCTTTTTTTAATTGCAGGTTCCATTACAGCTTATAGAAAGTGTTGAATGCCGAGATATATTTCAGCTTCATTTGACTTGCAAAGACTGCAAAATTATCAGGTATGTGATGAGTTTATGCTATTGTTTAGTGTGGAAAATACTTCTTAAAGGATGGATTCATGATTTGATAACAGAAAAACAGCTTTTGAGGGTCAGCCTAGTTAGGAGTATTTTCGGAGTAGTTAGTCCCTGAAATATGTTATCTTTAGCCTACTTTGCTATTGGAAAGGTGTTTTTTATTTGGAGGTGCAAACATAAAAATAGTAAAGAGCACTAGTATTGTTAACATTTTACCCTATGCTTTATCGTTTGCAGGGGGCGTGTGTGTGTGTGTGTGTGTGTGTGTGTGTGTGTGTGCGCGCGCGCATGCGCTAATGTGTGAAATTCTTGTTCTGAACGATTTGAAAGTAAGTTACATAATCATGGCTCTTTGCCCTGAAATACTTAAGTGTGCTTTCTTAAAAATAGGGGTATTTTCTTACATAACCCACAGTATCATTGTCACTTCACAGTTTTGCACTCATAATACTTTTTATCCAATCTACTCTCCATGTTCCAGTTTTGTCAGTTGACCTAATAATGCCCTTTATAGCATTCCCCTACCTCGTTCAGAACAGGATCCAGACAAGGTCACTTATTACATTTAGTTGCCGTGATTCTGTAGCTTTCTTTAATCTGAAATGTTTTCTACCACCTTTCTTTATCTTTTATGACATTAACGTTTTGAAGAAAAAATCTTTTATTGTAATAGAAAGTTTCTTATTTTGTGTCTGGTGTTTCCTTGTGATTAAATTGAGGTTTTGCGTTCTCAGCTGGAATACTATATGTATGAGGCTGTGTCCTTTTCAGGAGATTGTATTACAGCTGGAGGCAAACGGTGTCCATCTGTCCCTTGCTGGTGATGTTAGTTGTGATCACTCTTGTCAAGGAGTCACCCGCTTTCTGTGTAATTTCTATATTTTCTCCCTTGCAACTAATCAACAGTCTGGGAGGCACTTTAAGACACTAGAAGTGTCCTGCTTCTCATCACATTTCTCCAGTGTTGGCTTTATCTGATCTAGTCTTTACTATAATGGTTGAAAAGTGATGCCTAAAATGCATTTTAAATTTAGTAGCTCTACCAGTTTTTAATTCCCCAAGTTTTTGCTTTATTTCTTTGACCTATTCTGGAGTGCCAGTAAACATTGTGTGTGGACATATTGATGAGCCACACTGATTGGGACAAGAGAGAGATTTAAGTGACCTCCTTGTTTTTGTTTATTTTTAAATTTTTGTTGGAGTATAGTTGATTCCTCCTTGGTTTTAGGGTAAATATTTAAGTTGCTTTTTAGCCATTGAGATTTGGCTTGCTTTTGATAGATACTGGTTATAACTCACAGTTTTAAAAGGTTGCTTATTAATTACTCAATTTTAGATACTGCATTTAAAAAGATAAAGTATTTTTTACACTAATTATTTTAACCTCCTAGTTATATATACTGAAAATTGCACTTGATAATAGAATTGGTTTTTTCTCTACATGGTAACATCTGAAAATTTCAGTGTAATGTATCTTATTTTCGATCTAAAGTTGCTGATTTATTCTAATTGCTAAACAGATAAATTTTGAAATTATTCCCTAATTGGCTAAAAGTACTGTGAACCATTTTTGAGCTTGCTATAATAATGTCATAACAAAACAAAAAGAACTTCTTTAAACATGTTCTTTGAGAAGGACAACCATAAAGCTTTGGTGGAAGAAGTGGAATAAAACCCCATTCCTGGAAGAGAATGACTGTCATTTTACTTTAATAATTGTCAATCTCAGAAGAGATTTTATTAGTCTAAAAAAAATAGGTTTTCCACATGTCCAGCTTTCTTCTTCTTGACATTTTGCACCATTGGCTAAAATTTGTTGGACATGTTTTGTTATTATAAATCATAAACATTAGACCACCTTAGTGGTTTTTTTTTTTTTTTTTTTTTTTGCGGTACGCAGGCCTCTCACTGTT